GCTTCATCTTCGCTCCTCCTTTCTCTCTCCTCTCTCCTCTCTCCTCTCTCCTCTCTCCTCTCTCCTCTCTCCTCTCTCCTCTCTCCTCTCTCCTCTCCTCTCCTCTCTCTCCTTCCTCCCCTTGTTCTCTCCCTTCTTCACTGGATTGCTACAGGCAGGCGTTTCCTTCTCAGAGGAGGGGATCGTTGTTGACGAGCACCAGCGCACGACCGTTGCCAACATCATGGTCCCCACTCCCCTCCTCGCCTGTCTCCTGACCCTCCCTTCAGGCAGCAGGAGACTGCTGTACGGGGCAGGACAAGTTCTCCCACGTTGCAGGGTGGCAGGAAAGTTTCTCTCCCCTACCAATCGCCTCCCTCGGCCCTCTTGTTCACAGGCTTTTGAGCCCCTTCCTGCAGGCCTTTATCGCTACGAAAGCAGCGCTGCTGCCATGGTGGCTGAGGGGAAGCATCTCTAAAAGCTCCTCCGTCGTTCCTCGCGTCGTCTACACGAAGCCGGAGGAAAGAGACGGGAGGAGGAGGAGGAGGGAGGAGGGGGCGAGTGACGGGAAGGACGGCAGGTCGCGTCGGTCGGGCTGTCGGAGCAGGAGGTACAGGACAAGTGAGCAAGACAACTTGCGATGTCCGACTATTTGACTGGTTGAGGGAACAGGTACGGGAAGGTAGGACGGCAATGGACCAAGGTCTCAGTGACCAAGAGCATGCTCGACCGCAGCCTGGCAGACGAGGAGGTGAAAACTTGACTCGTCGCACTCCCTCACTGACTGCTGCAGGCCGAGCAAGCCTTCATAGAAGTTTACATCCACAACGACGGGCAAGTCCTGGGGTCCACCATGGTGTCGAACCGAGCCGGGGAGCTCGTCACGCTCGTAGCTATCGCCATCAATGTACTGGCAAGCTGCTGCGAATGCGGCTGACCGCCATGGCAGAATAAGATCCACGTCAAGGACCTTGCCACGACTATCCACCCTTATCCTTCCTACGCCTTCGCTCTGCACAAGGTAATGTTCCTCTCATCTAATCTCCCTCCTCTCCACTCTGAATTTGGCCCTTGAAGCGTATCATTTCCCATGTTTTCCTTCCTCTTTGCTAGCTCCTTGCATCTTTTCTTCAAGAGGCCTTCCTGTAGAGTCTTGTCGCTGCTCTCAACCTCTCCTCCTCTCATGGGCTCCCCCTCCTCTCCTTGTCTTTACAGTCTTGACCTGAATATTCTCACTCCCTCAGCTTTGGATAGAAGCCGCAACGCGCAATCTATTTCGCAACCTCAACGGAGGTCTTCTGGCGAGCCTGATGAGATTTGCGGTGAAACTTTCAACTCCTCTGGGTATACCAAGAACTTACTGGGTTGTCTGCGGCAGTTCGCGGCCTCGCGCATCTTTTCAAAAAAATCCAAAGCTGCTGCTACCCAACCAACCAACGAGCCAGCAAAAGAAGCACAACACGGATGATCTACTTGGCCAAAAAAATCAACAAAACGATGTTTTCATGCTAACTCGGATTTCATCATTCCCCTGCTTTCGCCTCCTTCAGTGGATGGCTTAGACGGCTGTGTGTGAGGAGCGAGGAGATGGGGAAGGCAAACCGCTTCCCACATACAGAGCAGAAGTTTGACATCTTGCCCTGCTTCGTTCCCGCAACCTGCCGTGGGTGTCAAGACTAGAAACGGCGAATGAGATGCCAACCGAGCGGCAGTGCTCAAGTATCCTCTTTCTGTTCTCGCGCATGTGGCCCACTGTCTTCTCAAGTAGAGAAAACTCTTCTTCCTTCATCGAGAGATTCACCAGCTTCCCTCCCGGCTCTAGCCCAGCATCTCTCGTTCCCATAAGATCTTCAGTCAGTATCAGCCGCACCTGGACATATCGTCACACAGCCATAATCCAATGAAACGATGAGTATTTCTCTCACCCCTGCCCCACGCGCCTCTGCGATGGAAAAGACGAGTCCATGCTGATCTGCTGAATCCAGCGAAACCCTGTCATCTTGCCCAAACATAACGCTCGCCTTTATCTACAGAGACATCACATAAATTACAGTCACTTGATCACACTCGCAACCAGCAGAGTCTCTTGCCCATGCAGCTGAAAAACAGTCTGACCACCTCCCAGGTCACCTAATGAAACGTGATGGTTAGAGGAAGCACCTTGAAGGAAATGTAGGCTACCTGTTGAGATTATGTACAACAAGAGATCAAACAGTGGGTCTGTCTTGATGTCTTTCCCATCAGGCTGACTTTCATCTTCCCCATCCGACAATACAATACAAACAGGTTCTTCTTGTGGTTTTGTTTCTTCCTTCTTTGCCGTTTTCTTCCTCCTTTTCCGCGGGGATCGCAACTGAGCGCTATTATTTCTGGATTTTGCTGGTGAACCTTGTTCAAGGGTTTGTGATGAATTTGTCTCACGGAAGTCAGTATCTGTCGTGCCTGCAGCAGAAACAAACTTGCCCATCGCATCATCTCTGTTTCCTCCAAGGTCATTTCCAGATTGCAAATTGCCTGCATCGATTGCTGCGTTAGAAGGTCCAAGGTGATTGTGTTGAGGCATATCTTCTGCGTAGGGATATCTTACACTTTGAGGAGCAGATTCCACAGTCAAACCCCGTGAGGGTTTTGAGCTAGACAGAATAAAATTGCTGCAGATTACATTGTTGTTGGATAAAGAATATGAAACGTTGGAATTGTTCATAGCAGCTTCAAATGAATTCAACTCCACAGGATTTTGTGGATTCGATTCGAGAGATTGAGATGATGCAAGGACATTGCCTGATGGCAGAGAAAACTTGCTTGCATATGAGACATGATGCTGATTTACATGATGCTGATTTGTACAATTTGAAACCATTCCATCTTGATATGTTGAAATGTGATTGTGATTTGCATGAATCGGAAAAGAGGCCACGACACCACCTGTTTCCCCAATTGCAGTCGGAGTACATGCAGCAATCTGACGTGTTGACAATAGTGAAGAATCCTTCCAGAAATCTAACTTCGAGGTTGGGGAGACATTCAAACCAGCAAACGCGTGATCTTTTATCAGGTTCGCCTCCGAAGTCTGGTCTTGCCTGAGAGGTGTCTGGCGATTGCTTGAGGTATCGTCATCCACAGCATTATTCAGACTTTGAATAGTCGATGGACTACTTTGTACAACCTAACAAAATCGTCAAAGATTAGCCGACAAAAAGAAATATTCGTGTACAGGTGGCATATCTGTAAGCGATTTTGGTTGGCTGCACTGGGAAATAGGAGGGACATCAATCTCCCGGGCAATGAAATCCAGCCCTTCGACTAAACAAAAATGTGAAAAACATGGAAAAGATAGACAAGATCATTCGACCTTCACATCGCTGCATAAAGTTGTAAGCTTGATCCCTTTGTTGGAGCTCATCTATTATTTGGACATATTTCACCATCTTCTTCTTGACGCACTTGTTCCCTGTTCGGACTTGCACTCGAATCCAGAACGCATTTTCATTTCTTTGAAGCTTGACGCTGGTGTATGACCGATGCCACGGTGTGAATCTTTGGTCACCTACTGGCATCAATTCATCCGGGCCCAATTCATCTGGTTTCACTTCCTGAATGACATGGATTCAGACGGATTGAGAGCGAGTTGCCTTCCTTACCAGATTGCTGTACCAATACTTCCCCTTGCAAGCTCCGTCCTTTGGCAGAGAGGTGGATTGTAGCTCCCAAAGTTTGAAGCCCAAGCTTGACAGCCATTCTTTTCTCACCTCGACCACCCATACTTTGTTCTCCTCTGGCAGCTCGGGTTGTGCTAACTTCTTGGCAGTTCCTATCTTTCGCTTCTTAGTTCCCGGATTCAAGTACCAGCTCACAGAGCCTTGGTTCTGAGAAGACTGGGTGCCCTGGGGTAGGCTCGCATGCGCTTCACAATGAGAGGCGGATAGTGCGAATGCATGGTCCGAAGCTACCTCCATCGAAAGGCTACGGCACCTTTAGAGAAGATTAACAAAAGAAACCGTTATGGAACAACTTTGATATGGTTTGACCTAAACTCTACAAGAGAATCGAAACGCTCATCACTCCCATAGGTCTGTGTATTCAGAAGTCCTCGCAATCGACCATTCCTATTCACAACTCTCTTTTTACCTCCCTGCTCCCCCCTTTTCAAGCTTTTTCTCCTCTTGCCCTCGTTCCTTCTCCACTCTCAGCATCGTCCCTCGCTCTGCCTCTCTGTCCCTGCTCCTTCTTCTCTGCTCCCTGCCGATTCTCTTCGTCGCAAATTTCTTCCCGCGCAAAAATCCTCACAAGGGCTGGGGGATGAGGGCCTTTTCAGGCGGCGGCCCGGGCCGGCCGGGCCGGGACTCGGGGAGTCACTGGCCCAGTGGGGCGCGGCCCGCCGCCGGTCAGGGCCGGCCCGGCCGGGCGCCTAAAGCGCCCGGCCCAGTCACGGGCCGCCCTACTGCATGTTAAGCCCCCTACTGCATGTCTGCCGGATGACCGTGCCAGGGCTAAGTAGCCCTCGCACTGAGTCCGTACCGCGGCGCCACCGGAGGCCCCCGGCGTGGCCCGTGGCGCGCCCGGGCCCCGGGCCGGTCCGAGTCCGGCCATCGGGCCGGTACGGTCTGTCACTCCGATCCGGCGACCGGGCGGAGTGACTGTGGCACTGAGAACAAGTCACGTGACTCTCAGTGACTCACACTCGGATGGAAGGTTCCTTCAAGAATTAATGGTAGGAACGAATTGTGAACAGTTCTTCTTATTTCTGTTTTTAAATCGAAATTGTTTATGTTCTATACAAAATAAATCCAAAAATAATTTAAATATTTCAGTTTTTTGTTTTGATCGAGTTATGCAAGGGTGTCTTCAGACTTCCAGGATCGGTGGGTGGGTAGTCGAATTTGAACCGGATACTTGAAAACGAGTGGGGTACATATTCCCATTGCTGGGGTAGGGGGGTACTCTGATTCCTCTATCACCCACAATTCTATATATAAAAGAAGGGCAAATTGGTGAGATCATTGAAAAATGAGGGGTAGTGGAATGGAAATGAGGGTACGAAGATGATGGGTAGGGTTATGTGCCTTGGGGTAGGGTAGAAGGAAAGGGTGGAGAGGTTGGCTTGATCAGCACAGCGTCGCAATGGAGGGATAGTGAGGCGCAGGAACGAGGAGCGAAGTGAGGGAAAGGGAAGACAAGGGAAGGGGGCTAGGAAGACACTGACAATGCTGGATGTATCGTATAGAGCCAGTGAACAGAACAGTTTCTGCTATTTTGTCCAATTGGAGCAAGCAGATTGGTTGATCTGAATTCGGTACACTAACAAGGTAGTTCTCGTGTTTTCTCCGCGATCATGGTCCAAGGCCTTGATCACTATGGGGATCTCACTTGGTAACGATAGGGTAAATGTGTACAGATTTCACCTCGCACTTGAATGCTCTCCACCAACAGTTTCACCCCCTCTGGTGTTTTGGAGGTATTTGCGTTGCGGTCCGATATGTATGACCCGCCCCCCGTGTGCTGTTCCATGTCGTGTTTGTCGCACCACGTGATGATGACATTAAGGGGCCATGGGATATGACTGAAATGCTTGATGTTGTAATGCATCTTGTTGTGCTCGTTGTTAGGAGTCGATGTTTGTTGCAAAATGCTGCAACAGTCCTTCACGTCGGCCTAGCGGATTGAAGTTAGAATGTGAGGCCAATGAGCATTTGACAATAAGGACCGATCGTACGTTGCTAGTTTTATGCGACTTTGCCAACAACGAGCTGACATACTCTCGTCGGAAGCATGCAAAACCTCGCTAACTCTTTGCTTTCCTAGCCAAATCTCGCAACAACCACTCTGCAAACGACGGTGACTCTGAAAGGAAGGATTGGATTGCCTGGAATGACAGCAGGAATGATGGCGGGCCGGATATCCTGGTTGACTGTATTCGCTCTCCTCCTGTGCACTGTCTTTTGTCACGTACCCATCTCTGCAAGCGTTCACGTGCTAGAGTCTTCAATCCAGCCTTCGGCAAGGGTGGTCCTCGGGCTCCGAAATCGTGCGCCTGCGTCCCTGCTGAGGTTGAGAGGTGCTGGCGATGCAGATTCCAAAGTTCAGGAGGCTCTGGCCGCGAAGGAGCTCGGGAATGAAGCGTACAAGAAGAAGGATTTTGAGGAGGCGATCAAACAGTACGAAAGGGCGGCAGAACTTGATCCGACCTCGATGGTCTACCTGAACAACATCGCTGCTGCTCTGTTTGGGCAAGGAAAGTACGAGGAGTGCATCAAGAAGTGCCAGGAGGTGGCCTTGTGCCCGTTGTCTTTCTTCCATGTAACGATTCGTTGGGGTTGTACAGGCGATTGAAGTGGGCAAGCAGTACCGATCAGACTTCAAAGACATTGCTCGAGCGCACTCGCGGTGTGGCAATGCGTGTGCAAAGCTCGGAAGGCTGGAGGAAGCCATCAAGCACTACGACAGCTCTCTTGTCGAATTCAAGGATGGTAATGTGGAGCTCAAGGTATGATGCGAAGCGCTTTTTCCAGCCTTGGTGCTTACAATTGTGTTATGAAGCGACGAGAAGTGATTCGACAGAAGGACGAAATCGATAAAGCCGCTTACCTCAATCCTGAAAAAGCGGAAGAGCACAGGCAGAATGGCAACGCTTTCTTCAAGGAGGGCAAATGGGTTGATGCCATCAGAGAGTACACTGAAGGGCTCAGACGAGACCCCCAGAATCACTTGATCTATTCGAATCGTGCGCAGGTCCTTGAGCCTGTGTGAAGTCATGATGTGACATGCATATTTGCATACAGACTTACATCAAGGTCATGGACTTCGGGTCAGCGTTGAAAGATTGCGACAAATGTCTCGAACTCAAACCTGACTTCCCACGAGCATATGCCCGCAAGGCCACAGTGCAGATGCTTTGCAAGCAGGTGCCCTTCCCTTCTCCCCCTGCCCCCTCCTCCCCTTCCTCTCCCTGCACCCTCCCACTTCGCTCCATGTCCCCCAGCTGTCACCTTGTACTCGTCCAATTCCTCATGTGCTGATTTCACTTGGCAGATCCATAAAGCCAAAGAGACTGTTGAGCTGGGGCTGTCCAAGGCTCCAGAAGACCCTGAGCTGAAGGAGGCAAGCGCCTGGCACCTGCTCATCTGGCCTCCCTTCTAAAGTCAACCTCCAGGTCTTTCGCAAAGTCCAACAGAGCATCATGGGAGTAGGGCTTTCCCCGGAAGAGCGCGAGGAGGCGAGTCGACCCTCGTTGCCCTCTCCTGTGCCTCGGTGACAGAGCTCGCAGAGGGCCAAGGAGGCCATGAAGGACCCCAGCATCCAGCAGATCATGTCCGATCCCGTCATGCGCCAGGCTAGTGATCACTTGCGGGTGAGTAGGGGAGCTGACAAGTGAGCCGCAGGTGCTGGACGACATGCAGTCAAACCCTACGTCCGCGGCCAAGCACATGCAGGTCGAGCTGCCCAACCATCTTACCATGTTGCTTGACGTGCTGTGTTGTACAGGACCCGATGGTCAAGAGGAACATCGATCTGCTGGTGGCGGCAGGTGCGTGATAGAAGGTCCAAACTTGAACGAGCTGACTCTTGTTGCTCCTTAGGAATCATTCAGATGCGATGAGGACAAGGGCGAGACTAGGGAGCCTGCTGAATGTTGCCTGCTACTCTGCATGAATGAAGTGGAACTCCCAATCACTCGTCCTCTCACTCCTCCCCAGCCAGTACGAAGTTTGGTCGCTCATCCACCAGCAGCGTCCGGTCCGAGAAACGGCAGGTCATCATCAACTTTGTCGATCATGGTCGTGTACTCTCTGCGCATCAGAGCATGGCATGCGTTGTAGACGGAATAAATTTTCGCTTTGCGCATATGTGAGCACACAGGAATGAGCACAAACGTTCCTTTTTATACATCGCGAATCTGGGCATAACATTTTCAGTTGTGCCTCATTCTTACAGGCACATCCACTGCCGCCATGGAGTTGGCACGCTGGTAGATCGCCGTCTTGCCGTGGGCAGGATGATACACGATAGCTTCGGGATCTCCCCTGAAGCCCATCGCTCGCGCCTCCGCAAGGCTCTGCTGCAGCGTCTTGCCGTCCACCTCAACCTCATGCGCTCCCACCTTCCTTACGGGGGCTGCAGCCAGCTCTGTTGCTCCCTGTGGAGACTGGTTCGACGACCCAGGAAAGTAGAGGACGGGCTTGCCGCTAGCAGGGTGGTAGATAATTCCTTCAGGCCTGCCCTTCAATCCCAGAGACCGAGCCAACGCCATGCTCGACGAGAGCGTGCGGCCATCAACCTCGATAGGCCGTTGGCTCAGCTCAGATTTCTGCTCCCCCTGCATTTTCTTCTCGATGTTCTTCTGGGCCGCGGCCTTGCGGGCTGACGACTTGTCCTGAAGCACGTAGAGCTCTGGCTTTCCCTGTGCTGGATGGTAGACGATGGCCTCTGGCTGGCCCTTCAATCCCATCTTGTGAGCAGCATTGATGCTACCGGCAAGTGTGCTTGAGTCCACTTCGATCTTTCCTTGCTGTGCTGACGCCAACTCCTGGGTCGTGCCCGAGAGAGGTGGGGGCTTGACATAAGGCTTCGCCTTCATGTACACATCAGGCTTTCCGTGTGCTGAAGGCAAGAAGATGTTAGAGGTGCTGTGGTCAGATCAACAAGCAAGCGCACCAGGATGGTAGATGATCGCCTGGGGGTCTCCTTTGAAGCCAAGGTCATGCGCTTCATCAATGCTCTGCTGGAGAGTCTGCGCCTTCACTTCAACCTCGCCCTTCTTCTTGCTCTGAGCCACTGAGCGAGCAGCCGACTTCAACGGAATGACGTCAAAGAGCTCTCCATGGAGATCCGCGTACTTGGGGGGTCCCTGCAGGCCCTCGGACTCGGCCTTTTCCATGGCGCCTTCAATGGTAGGGGAGTCAATGACCTGCGAGAGAGCAGCAGCATCCTTGCTCTTCTCCTTGGAGTTCAGCCTGTCGTAGCAGAACCTCTGGAGCATCTCGTTGCCGGCAAACTCCTTAGCGCAGAACTCCATCAGCTTGAGAGCCATCATGCTTCCAGGCTGAGCAAGCACAGACGACTTGGCCGCAAGCCTTGCCTTCGCCGCAGACTTCACGTCCTCCTTGTCAGCCTTCGGGAGGTTGATTCCTGCAACCTTGTTCATCCTGTCTGACCTGAACTTCTCAGCTTCCAATCGCTCCTTAGCCTCTGCCTCCCACTTGCCCAGGACGGCGGCCATCCTCTCCTGCTGCCTCTCGTCTTCGACCACGTCCTCTTCCCCTGCAATCTCTCCAGCCTTGAACCCGTTGATGTATGCCTGCCTCTCAGCCAGAAAGAGCAGACTGTTCGCTCCGAGCTCCTTCAGAGCGGAGATCCTCCGCTGCTCGTCGACATTCTGCAGGAGGGAGCTGGAAGAGTGATAATGATGAACGACCGCCGCCATGAGCAGGAGCGATGCTGCCACCCCGGCCACAACAGTTCCAATCCTCTTCGCCGACTTGTTGGTGGCTCCAGCAGTCATCTCCTCCGCATCCACGATCTCGATGCGGCTCAGCATCCTTACGAGCCTGCCCACTAGCGTCAGACGAATGCTCAAGACACACGAACAGCACAGGCTATCGAGCTGACCAAGGAAGATCAAGGAGAACAAAACTTCTAAATTATTTAACCTCGTTAGTAAACTTACATCATCATCCTACACACCACTTGCCAATGACTTGAAAAACAATCTCTTTCTATGCACGTATCCCAAAATTCTACAAACAATCCATGATGAGAAAAACACGTCTTGGCCTACTACAGACCCTGGGTCGGACCGACCTCATTTCTATCGTAGGCTTAACAGCGACATACATCCTTGCTATCTACAACCCAGTGTCCGCATGATCCTCTCCCCTCGCTACTTCGGCTACTTTTCCTCCACCCAGCATACTGGTTATCTTGGACATTCTGAGCCTTGCGCGAAACACCCAAAATAGCGATAAAGTTGGGCGGGGAAATTCAATAATGGGCGAAATACTATGGTGAAAATTGAAATTTGGCCAGACCGGTGGAAGGAGTTTTGACTCTAAAAGAGATTAGCTCAATTATTTTTTCGAAACCAATTGCACCCGCCCGAAGTTTTTTAGGCAGAAAACAAGATTAGCTCATTCTGTTGTTGAAGACCTTGGGTTTGGTGATAGTTTTCAATTATTTGGTCTACATTTCATTATCTCACTAGAAACAATTCATTTCCGAAGTTGAACTTTAAAAGGGCACGAACTTTCTGGCCAAACTGAACACAGAAAGTTCGATCGAACTACTACAACGTTTTTAGATGAATGTAAATGTTTATTAAAGGCAATCCTAAAACTAGTTGTTGCTCTGCTGCTGTTCCCGCTATAAAAGTTTGAGTTTTTGGGTAAGCCATTGTTATACTTGGTACAAATTCTGTGCAACAATGCCGTACAGAAATCATTTCGAAGAAGCCATTTTTAAAATAAACATCATTGTATACAGCATCTGAGTACAACATATATCTATAGTTTTTGTAACTGAAGGTATTGATAATAACAACTTTTGTACCATTTGGCCATCAATGTTCTCAACTCTGGTACTCAATATACAATTATGTAATTGCTGAGTTATAGCGAAACACTACCACTACTGGCTAAGAGGCTGAAGAACTGCAGAGAAGGCGGAAACTATTGCAGACAAGTGCAAGGGAAGGATGAAGAGAGGAGACGGCGACGAAGGCGAAGAGAGATGAGAGAAACGATCATGGCCGTGAGATAGAATCAGGAAGTATGAAGAAGGGAAAGAGCAGAACCGAGCTCGGTACCAAGATATCTGACGATTTCTGGCTGGTGGTAGGGTAGATCAATGTGAAGGTATGATAAGAGGCAAAAGACAGAGATGATACGATCCTCCCGAGGTAGTTTACACCGAGTTTGGTTTCTCGGACTAGCAAACTGCACTTGGAAATCTTGCAGCAACCGTGTATTGACCCCGTTGTGCAGGTTCACACGATAGACTGGCCCGACCATGGTTTACGACATTTCCCCTTACGCTGGCAAGATCCTCTTCGAGGAACGATCCAGCACATTTCGTCTCTACGGGCGAAACAGTCTGTATGCATTCAGAGCGGATGAGGGTGGAAATCTTGAGCACCTGTACTGGGGGAAATCCATTCCCCCACAGGATGACCTGAGATACCTCTCGTTCTCGAATGTGCAACTCAGTTTCGACCCCGGTCCTTTGACATACTTTGAAGACATCACTGCCATTCAGGATCTCGTTTCTGAGCAGCTGGACCATGAAAATCTGCTCCGCGAGTGGGACAATGCGAGGAAACAGAACGTAGCTACCTGCATGTTTGGAGAGGCGTCGGGCGTTATCAACGATGTTGAAGAGGTGGCAGGAACATTGCAGTCATCCTCCGTCCTCGACGAAGAAGCAGTTGCCAGAGCCAGACGAGAAAATGCTGCGTGGAGGTTGATGAAGATGCAAGAGCTCAAAACCAGCAGGGCTGAGGGGGAAGAAGAGTTGCGCGAGATCGACGATTCGGATGGTGAGCCCAACATCCAAGAGGTCCCAGCTCCCAATTATCCTATCAAGAGCCCTCACTTGGGCCCGATGGCCTCGTTCACCAGCCCTCACCTTGGTCCTCTCCACCCAAGCTTGGCAAAGGCTGGAGCCTTCGGCGAGGGCTTCCTCCCTCTGAATGCCTACCCTCCCGCTGAGGAGTTTGGGCTGGGCCCTCAAGCCACTGAGGATATGATTCCTCCGGTCAGGTCTCGACGCGGAAGCCTTACAGGACACGACGATGTTGAGTGGGAAGGCACTCTACCACAGGTTGGGCGCAACACCAAACTGCTCGAATTCGCAGATTTGGGTACTGGTGACTATCGTCCCCCGAGCTTTTGTGTTGTCTACGAAGACGGCAGTACAATCTGTCCTCTCACCTACAAGGGGCATGAGATTCACAGAGGGAAGCTGCCCATGAAGTTCGCGAAGGGAAAACTGCCGGAGCTGCGAGGAGGAGAAGAAGACTGCAACAGTCTTGTGGTGCAGATGGAAGACAGATTGACAGGTCTTGAGTTCGATCTGGTCTACACAGTGTACAAAGACCTCGACGCAATCACGAGGAGAGTCATTGTTCACAATCCCAAAGAGAAGAAGAGCAATGGCAACAGCAACAAGCCGCGTACTCCGACGAGACTGGACAAGCTTATGAGTGCCACGGTAGACTTCCACACGATGAGTGGGCTGAATCTCATCACACTGAGTGGTAGCTGGGCCAATGAGAGACACCAGAGAGTTCAGTCACTTGTTCAAGGAAGGTTTGTCTCGGAAAGTCTTCGTGGTACGAGCAGTCATCAACACAATCCTTTCTGTGCCATTACCACCACCCCCGAAGAGCTCTTCGAAACCCACGGCGATGTCTGGGCGTTCTCTCTCGTCTACTCCGGCAACTTCATCATGGAGGCTGAGGTCACCGAGACTGGCCGAACTCGAATCAATGCTGGTATCAACCCCAGCACATTCAAATGGCACCTTCCTCCCGGAGACTCGTTTGAATCGCCTGAGGTAATAAGAATGTTTCTTCCGAACTCAAAGGCTCACATGGAGTTTTGCAGTGTGTTCTTGTTTACAGCGATTCTGGACTGGAAGGCATGAGTCACACATTCCATGCCTTGTACAAAAAATATCAGATTCCGCAAAGGTGGGCCAACACCGTCCCGCCAATCCTTTTAAATACTTGGGAAGCCATGTACTTCGACGTGAACCATTCCAAGGTCCTGGAGCTAGCAAAGGTTGCTGCAACCTGTGGTGTTGAGATGATAGTTCTTGATGATGGATGGTTTGGGGAAAGAGAGGATGCTACTTCGTCTCTGGGAGACTGGGATGAAGATCGTAGAAAGTTTCCAGACGGTCTGTCTGCTCTTGTTCAAGACATCAACGCCCTGGGGTTGAAGTTTGGTATCTGGGTAGAGCCAGAGATGGTGAACGTCAAGAGCAAGTTATATCGCAAGTATCCAACCTGGTGCTTGAATCAGCATGGAAGGAACAGTCGATGTGAGGGCCGAAATCAGCTTGTTCTTGACTTCACGAGAGAAGAAGTTTGTCAGTACGTCATATCCAAACTCAACGCTCTCCTATCTGCTTCGAACATTGAGTACTTGAAGTGGGATATGAATAGGCACCTTACCGAAGTTTATGGCAACGCTATCATGCCAGAGAAACAAGGTGAAGTATTCCATCGCTACATGGTCGGTGTCTATAAGGTCCTCGCATTCTTGAACGACAAGTTCCCTCATGTCAGAATCGAGACGTGCTCTGGAGGAGGAGGTCGGTTCGATGCTGGCATGCTTCACTACTGCCCACAGATCTGGGCTAGCGACAACACGGACGTGTTTAGCCGCATGGCAATCCAGCATGGAACCAGTTTGGCTTATCCGATCTCCTCCATTGGCTCACACATTACAGCTGTACCCAATCATCAGACCCAGCGGCTCTCGACCCTCAAGACCAGGTTTCTCGTCGCTCTCTTTGGAACCTTCGGACTCGAGCTTGACCTGAGGCGCCTGAGCCCCGTTGACCTCAACGAGCTCTCACAGTACACAGCCAAGTACAAGGAGCTCGCCCCTACCGTCCTCCACGGCAAGTTCTACAGACTTTGGGCCCCGTCCAGGCTGAGCGACCGTCATGCTTATGCGTGGATGTGTACGTGCGAGAACGAGCAAGAGGACATTGCTGCTGTTGTCGCCGTCTTCCTCACCAAGACTGAGCCGGGACGTTACCTTCCTCGACTTCGCTTGAGGGGACTGGACCTGGCCAGCAACTATGTGGTGGAGGAGATCTTCCCTAACACTTCCATGAGGAACCGCAACACTGGTCAGCTCGAGATGACGGGCGGCATGCCGCAATGGCAGCTTGGAAAGCAGTCGATCGTGATGTCAGGAGCAGCGCTCATGAACGTCGGGGTTCCCGTTCGTCTCTCCTACGACGGAGACAGCAGCGCTTTTGTGCTCCACCGCCACAGGAACCCAGTCCCAGCTTCCAACTGAAGGGCAGGACTAGAAATTCCTCTGGTATTTCGATACACGCTTGCTTGTTTTTGCTTGCAGCAACCTGTTTTGATCAATTTTTGTTGTGCATGAAATAGGAATTGAGCGGATATGGTAATTAAACAGGATCTGGTACTACTTTCGCCTTCAGGCCCCCGACATCATTCAAATGGTCGTTAACCCCTTTGCTTCACGCTTTGCCTGTGTCATCTTGCGATACCTGCCAACAACGTCAGCTGCCTGTGTCTTCACCTCTCTCTCCGCCCACCCCTCCCCCCCCCCCCGGCCCCCCCTCCCTCGACCCCTCCTTCCATCCCTCCCTCCCTCTCTCCCTCCCTCTCACTGTGAAATCGCGTTCTGCCGCAGCATTTCCATCTGTCGCTTCAGCTTCGACTCCCCTGACAGCTCAGGGATCGCCGGCATGCCATTGATGACATATCCGTTCCCACTGCACCAGCGTGAGAAAAAGAAGCCGGGCAGTACAGGACAGGGATGTCAACAGCGATGAACAAGGAGGGAGAGTGAAGATAGGAGCAATGAAAGGGAGGCTGGAAAGCTAAGATCCTCACCTTGGTTGTGCTGATACTGGTTTGTTCAGTCCTTTGAGTGGCTTCGAAACTTTTATAATCGGGGGGCGATAAGCTTGCTCCCCAAACTTGGGCGCCTCCTGACCGTCGACTTCAGAGTCAGACTCTTCCTCAGAAGGCCTAGGGGCCCTCTTCGCTTTCTTCTTCTCCTTCTTCTCTTCCTTCAGGCGGTTGAGGAAGTTCTTCCGCTTCTGACTGGACTTGGTTGAGCTCCTTGCGGAGTTTATTATCATCTCCCTCGTCTCCTTGCTGATCCTCTTGATGAACGTCTTGAACTTCTCCCCTGGCAACCTCCCGTCCAACTTTGTCTTGGGCTTTGCCTTGTCCTCCTCCTCTTTCTTGCGCTCATCAATACTGATATTCTTCGAGGGCTTCCGCTCAATCGGTACTTGTTCTATCTTGCCAAAATGAGAGCTATGGCCCAGACGCTTTCGCTTGTTGATTTTCACTCCCTGATGCGCAAGAACATCGTTCCTCAAGCGCGGGTTGATGTTCTTCGTTCTCAAAGGTTTGCCCATCCTCTCTTGTTAGCAGATTTAATATACACAAGGACACGAGCAGGTTCTTTCCCCCTCCAGTCCTCTCAAAACTTGCTTGAGGTTATCCTACAAACCCCACGTAACCGGTCTTCTGTACTTTACCCTACTATGCCCAGCTCGATCGGCGTTGGTAGCGTGTCTGATACTAGTTCAGTTCTGTTCTGCCTCAAATCTTTCCTCCCGTGCTCTCCTTGTCTGTCTCCTCTCCTCCTCCCCTCCACTACCAACTGTCCTCCGCACGTGCCATCTCCCGTGCCATTGCGGGTCCCAACGATCTTGTAACGGTTTCAACCAAGCGGTTTTGGACCGTTACAGTAGATCTGGGGTTGGCCCGTTATATTTTAAAAGTATTATACAGCTCTCTCAAAAAGCCTATAAATGCTTGTAAATTTGCGTAGTGAATAATAATAACTGGCTCACAAATAGAATGTTGACTACCCCTGGTATAGACAACATAGCTCTATGTTCGTTTTATTCTAGTTGGGGTAGGGTACGTTTTTTTTCGTCTACGACCTCTGCAAAGGTACCTGGATCTGTGGAGTTGTACGGGAATGCACCAAAAGATACTGAAAAGACAGTACAAGCATATATATATTATATTTAAATGTTTTGCTGTACTCTGAACTTGTCATAATGATTTTTCAAATATGATGAAACAATATAAAACTTAATGTAGAAATTTTTGAAGAAATTTCTCGTACAATTCAATCTCTACCAGGTAGAGATGGCTTGGTATCAACATAAAACGTTTTATGTTACCACACCCTTTGAGCATACCACCCCTTGGTCTATCACCCCTACCTACCAGTATTCATGCATAAGATACTAGGTTGTACCGGTATACAGTACCCTCGTTGTTGAAAGACCACCCACCCACCCTAGCGGTGCTAGCAGAAGGACAGCCATGACGCCTCAATGGCGGGGTCTCGTGAACGGGACTGTTATCTACATCGCCCTCGGCATCGTCGCTCTATGCTTTGTCGTCTGCATCTCGAAGCCGAACAAGCCGTAAGTTCCACCGCCATCACTGAAGCCTCCTCCCCATCCGTGGCTTGCTGATTCCTTCTCTACGTCCACAGAAGGCAGTGATGTTTCACTTGATTTCCTTGAATTCCCATCGCTGATAGTTACTTTTCGCTGCACACTTGACTTGAGCATCATGACCATGTCACTGTTACTTTGATGTGCCAGCTGACCTTGTTTCATTTTCACATCTTTTGCAAGAGTATGCGTGTTGTTCGTCTTTTTATAAGGTCGTTACCCGTTGTCAGTTTAAGTTCTTGTCTATCTTTCTGCGTCTACCACCAGGAGTAGATCGCTGTTTCTTGCTTGATGGCTCCACCACACTCGTAAATTGCAATCGGAATATGAAGAGGACTGTTTCGATGTTCGCGTCGTTTGCTCATTCGACTTACCTCCCCCTGTCACTCTTGTGCGTTCTGCGCTGCAGTTTGAGCCCTTTCCCCAACTTAAGGAGGTTGTGAACTAGTTTATCTTTTTTGCAATCGCAGTGATCTTTCTCTCTCGTGGTGTTTTGCTGATTGATAGATGCACACATGATTCGTTGAGTGATTTAATGTTGCCGTGTAATCAAATTCATCATATTTCCGTGACAGCGCTCTTCAAGCTCCATTTAAGTACTCTTGCTGTTCCACTTGCTTGGTGCAATTTCAGGAACATTTGTGCCATTTCGTTGCTTTGCTCTTCTTCCCTATGTGTGCTATCAATCTCACCCTTACCAGCCTCGGTGGCATTGGTTGACGTCTTTGTTTGTTTGTTTTCTTCTTCCCTCTCTTCTTGTACAATCTCTGAGAAATCAGTGTCACGACAAGTCCTAACGAAATGTCTGCAGTTTGTACACAGTTAGCGTCATTTTGACAACCGTTTGCACATGGTTGTTGTGGGCCTGCTGCTACATGTCGCAGATGTATCCTATCCTGTAAGTCTGCACCTCCTCTTCCCGATAGTTCTTAACGCTCGAGATAGGTATCCTATGCTGGGTGCAGCTCCGGGCGACGGCCACGGGGGAGGGGATCACTCTGCAGTTGATCCTCACAACACAGGTGGGTTAATTCAGCGTGTCTGCTCGGGTTCTTTGCTTTGACTCAAGTGCAGGCCATTAAACGTTAGAAAGCAGGGAAAGCAGGGATGTTTATTTTACGCACAACGATGAAATCTTGAGAATACAACAAAAAAATTGCAGCTCAAACTTTTCTGTGGGGAGTTTTGACAGCAGATTGTGGTAGAGCATGCTGAAGGGAATCTCCCATGAGGTATTGGCCTATGATACTATTCCGGCCTGTAGACGAAAAACTGCAGTTTGAAAGTATCGTGAATCCCGCCACTAACATACTCTGTCACGTTGTCCAGCCTACCACCATCCCTACATTCATTCACGGTTATTGTTACACTAGGCGTTGACAGAGAGAATGCTAGGAATCATGCTGCTCTCTGCTTTATCTTACTTCACATGATTAAACCACCGACGTGTACAACGAATGAAAACAACTGAGACAACTCTTATGTCATCTCATTTGTTTACAAAACTGCAGCTGGCAAAAGCTAACGAAAAGCACATTCGCAATTAAGATACTCAAATCAACATCATTCATGACTCTCAATGTTTTATTCACACCTGCCACTCTCGATCTTGTCTCGAATAATATCGTGATGCCGAAGAAAATGTAACTGTAACTCTCTGCCTGCCTGCCTTCCTGCCTGCCTGCCTGCCTGCCTGCCTGCCTGCATCTTGCTTCTGATCCTCCTCCCTCCCTCCCTCCCTCCCTCCTCGTCGCCGTTATCTCCGTCGTCGTCTTCCTCATCATCATAATCATCATAATCATCTCCTCCCCCTCCCCCTCCCCCTCCCCCACTTCCATCTTCATCCCTCCTCGATTCTCCCTCTCTAATACTAAAACCATCCACCCCGCCTCACCGATAATTCTGAGACAGCAATTACTAGCCCTAGTAATTTCAAGTTTATTTTGGTGCTGTCTTCATTCTTTATATTGCTCAACATACTCTCACGTTTGAAAACGCTGGCGCCAATGCCCGGCCCGTGCGCCCAATCATGCACGGGGAGCGGCCCCTCCGTCCCTGCTCTTCTTCTCCCCCTCCTCCTCCTCCTCCTCCCTTCTCAGAATGTTGTTTGCTTACACCATTCTCACGCCGACGTTCGTCTCTCAAAGTTCGCCCCCTCCGATCACCCCTGGGGGCCGGTAGTGTTGCGTCACTGGAACTTGCATGCAGGGATCCGCCAGGGAGAGAGGGCGGAACGTTTGGCAGGCGGGCACATTCTTGAACGGCTAAGAGGAGGCTCAGCTACGAAGGATGCTGCGGTGAAAAAGGTTAGTTCCTCCATGCTCTGCTGGATCACCACTGAACGAGAGTCCCTCGGCAGCCCCAGATCAATTTAGCATCAAGCTTGGAGGCGTCCCGAGCTATCCTGATATGGCTGTTGAAGAGCAGCATAGCCATCATGACAAGTCTCATCACAACTTCTGCTGTCATGGTCGCGTTCGAATTCACAGCGCACAAGATTAAACCTGACCTTCAAGAGAGTGGGATGCCCGACATGCTGGCGGCCTTGGTACGTCTGACCATGGTGGACATTCCTCGACGTCCTCTTGACTTTCTTCCCTCCCCATAGGTACTTGCTGGCTCCCTTGTTGGCTCCGGTCTTGGTGGGCTCGTCCTGACAAAGCTCTCCCCTTCTCACCCGACATTCCTCGCGCTCCTCGTCAGCGGACTCTTCACAGCAGCTCAGAATCTCAACCTGCAGACAGTGGAGCATCCCCCCTGGTATCACGTTGCAGGCATTCTCTCTTTCATCCCTCCGTACCTGCTCGCATCCTTGCAGCCTTGGGAGAGGAAATCCATCTCCATGACGCTCGGAGCGCTGGGAAAAGGGTCCCCCAGAAAGGCCAAGTCACCGGTAAAGACCACTCGCTTCAAGCTTGATCCTGCGTACGATCAGGCAGAGGAGAACGAGCTTCAGGATGAGGAGGTGCAAAGCACTGAGGATCGAACAGATGCTTCAGAGCCAGACAAGACATCGAAAACCCCCAAGAAGAGCAAGACCCCCAAGACGCCGAGTTCGGGCAAGAAAGAGTCCAAGACCCCTAAGAAGACGCCGCGCAGGAAGGATAAAGACTCATAAGAGGACGTAGAGGATGGTGTGATGGACTGTTTCCTCTCCTCTGCTTCACCCGCAGTTTGGATTTTCCCAACAGACTGAACTTCGTGCAACTTGTCCCTTGGGGCTTTCGCAGGCTGCCACTCACGTTCACGACAGTTTCAACGAGACGTTTATTGAGTCAGATGTTTTCTTTTCGCAACGTATGATAATATTTCTGCTCTGATCTTGGAGGCATAGAGAATATGTTAATAAAACGAGTTGTCATTCTAGTCTTCCTTGGTCTGACGCAGGCAGCAACACCAGCAGAGGCCGAAGCACGAGAGGCAGGGGAGCCATGAGAAGAGATAGACTATCAGCGGGCCGATGAGCCATGCATGGACGAGGGAGGAGGGGAGAAGAAGTTCAGCAAGGGAGCCGAAGTCTTGGACATGGACTGTCACCGTGCTGCTCGCTGCTCCTCTTCATGTAGAACGAGGCCCCACTGTCCGACGCGGCCTCTTCCTCCTCCGACGATCCATCGGGATAGATCGTGATGCTGTAGCTCCTCCCCCCCCTGCGAATCGTCGAGTGCAAGGTCATGCCGGGCTGCCACTCCCTCCACACCTGGTCGCCGAAATTCTCCCGGAACATGCTGTCAGCGTCCTCGAAGCGAAAAATGCTCGACGAGAAGTCGCTGAACGCATCTCCTTCCCTCCCATGGCCGCGCAGTGAACGGTTGTAGACCTGACGCTTCTTGGGATCTTTGAGGATCTCGTACGCCTGTGCTATCTCAGTAAACCTCGTCTTCGCTTCCGGGTCCTTGTTCTTGTCCGGGTGCCACATCACCGCTAGCTTGCGGTAAGCTCGTGCAATCTCCCTATCCGAGCAGTCCTTCTCCACCCCCAACGTCGCATATAAGTCATGCTCTCCCGCACACACGTCGAGGAAGCATGCTCCCATCGCAAGCGTCCAGAAGATGAACCGCCACTGCATTTTGGTCATCGTGCGGCGATGAAGACTCTGCCTATCCTTGGAAGGGGAGTAGATGAAGTTCCAGAACAGCAACAGCCAACAGCGGATGGACGGAGTAGTAGGATCAGGAGCAGGAGCAGGATTGAGCGTGCTGGGCCAACGACAACAGAACCACTCTGGAAGTACCCCTAGGTACCTACCATTTTGGCTTCTTTTTAGTGTATTCAATAGGGGTGGGTGCTACAAAACAATTTTCCTATCTTGGTGCCATCGGGGAGACACGAAGGGGAGACGCGTTTGAGATGGGAGGTTGGAGGAGAGGAGGGGAGAGGAGAAATGAGAGGACGGCTGAACACAAGGAATGGTCATGATAGAGCATTGCAGTCAAGCTTCTTCCCCTCGGTGAATCAGGACACGAGTACATCTGAGCGCTCTTCGACCGTGGGTTCGCTGTTAGGAATGGCGGCGAAGTCAAGATTGCAGCTTGGGATAGACTTTGTGTGCGACGAGCAAGGTAGACTTGTGGTACAACATGTACAGAGAGAGAGCGTGGCTGGGAAAAGCGGAAAGATTCAGACAGGGGACATGCTGCTCTGGATGCAAACAGAGAAACGAGGAGGAGCTGGCAATGTAGAGACGAAGGACCTGCAAGCCGCAGAGCTCGCAGAGTTCTTGGCTGGCGGCCAGGCAGCGACTGTGGATGTGCTGCGGATCTTCTTCTTCCGGGCCGGTTGCAAAGAAGAGATCATGCTCGAGGTCGACGTCAGAGCCAAGACATGTCTACATGTGACTTGTCTTGTGTACATGAAGGTCCTTCCTGACTCTTCCTGTTTGAAGCGCGAGAAGAGCGTAGGCGCTAGCAGAGCTCAAGGCCATGACGCTTTCTTCGAGCACATGAATGCCCAGAGGTTCCTGACAACCCTGATGAAACCGGGGATGAAGGTGATGTAAAGATTGCTCCATCTCCCGAGCTCCGGCGGATGTTGGCTGACTTACAGCTGCAGAGACCGAACAACCTCATAGCAAACACAAGGTCCTCGCGCGCCTCCTCCCCTCTGTCGCAACGTGTTTAATGCATCCTGACAGTGAGAACTGGGAGCTATGGGAGGGTCCTGATGATGCTGAGGTACTCCTCTTCCTCCTGTTGCTAGCAACCGATGACGAGGCAGCGCAGGATACCGAAGTGGAGTGTCTGCTGGACAACTCAGCCCAGCCAGTAGGCAAGTACCTTGTGCAGCAGTCGGGCTGATCGACCTCAGGCCTCGTTGTCAGCATATGAAGAGAGCACGATCAATGCTTGCGTTGCGACGATGATGGGTTTCTCATGGCGATTTCGAACCGTGATAGCAGGTGAGGCATGCTTAGTGAATGGAACAATCTCGTCTGAGCGATGCTTGTCAAGGCATTTTCATCACCATTTCCTGCTGCATTGCGATGCATTTTCTCTATCTTTACCTAGAACATTCTGCTCTGTAAATCAATGCTACCATTTAATTTTCCCCTCATGCTCCACGGCCTAAAAATCGCACGCTCCAATCACCGCTACAAAGTACAAGACACGGCTCATCAACGAAAACTCCTGGAACGATTCGACAGGACTAGCAACCCCTTGACAGATTGTGACCTCGTCGTGTACCACCGCATTCCACTCACGCGAACTCGAGCCGGTATGTCACTTGCCGTTGAGCAAAGGTGTGGAAATGCTTCCTGATGATACCATAGGGTGTGAACACGTTCCTTGCAAACACGATCTGGACGAGGTATCCGGGGATGGAGTTGATCATGTCTCGGATATCCATCATAGTGAAGAACACCTGGAGCATCTGTCGCTCGATAGCGCAGATGATATCACCAGACTTGAGAACCCCTTGCAAGCTAGCTGGCCCTCCGGCAACAACTCCGGATATGATGAACTCCCCGATCGCCGACCTCTCGAGCACGACCCCGATCTCTGGAAGGTAGAACTTCCCATTCGCCGGGCCTTGGATTCTGTACGCCACTTGAGGGACTGGCATGACTGGGTGGAGCAGGTTTCGATCCCGGTGACTCGAGTAGTTGTACTTTGCCCAGCTGCCCGACCCAACGGGCTGACCGTCGTTGGATCTCTTGAGCTCGTTGAGGTGCTGAATGGCTCGCAAGAGCGGGAGGTTCTGCCCCGCGTCGTTGACTGACAGCCCGATATTCATGGAGGGCTGTAGGTTGTAGAGTGCCATGTTGGGCACGCGATGTGACTTCTCGCTGGGAGCTCGGTGTTTTTGATCTCTCGCATCCTGGTCGGACTTGAACAGTTGCACTTTTGCGCTGGGGCTTGCAATGTCAGAGCTGACTGGACCTTCGTCACTTTGCAGGAACGTCTTGTTTTTGAAGATCCCGTCCAATGAGAAGAGGCGTTCCTCAATCCTCGAAGGTGACACGGGACTTTGTTTGTAGGTTCCCGACGAGCTGATTAGTGATACGTACGATTTCACAAAGGTCGCTGAGATTTGATGACTCTGCTGCTGCTGCTGCCCTTCTTCTGGTACTGGGTCCCTGCCAATAACCTGCTGTGAGCAAGACAAGGCATTCACAGTCTGCCAACTCTTACATCGCTCTCGACTCTTCTCTCACGACTTCTGATTTCATTGGGCTTGTAAACGACTCGTCCGTGTCCCCATCGTCGCTTTCCACCAACGACTCATTCGCAAACTCTTGGGACTTTTCCAAGTAACTCTCTTGAAAATCTGCAGTGATGCTTCCAGCATCCAAAGTGGATCCCTGGGTGTCACTTGTCTTCAAGTAGCTCAGTTGAAGGCTTAGCTCTGCACAGTAAAATTTCAGCGAGGGATTGACGATCGTTCGTAGAGTGAGGAGCGGTCAAGTACGGGTTCATACCTGGTACGCCGGACTGCCTTACCGAGCTCTGTTGGATTGAAAATCGAGAAAGTCATTTCGATCCTTCGAGTCATCGGAATAGCGCATACCTGCTGGAGACTGTCACCACATGATGTACTCTGATCCTGAATCTGAAGTGGTCTGGTTGTGATAGAAAGGAAAAGTAAGTTTGACGTGAAGAAATTCTAGGTTTCAAGAGATGAAAATTACATTTCTGGAAGCTCTTGTTCAGGTGCCTTGCGCTCTTTCTTGACAACATGTGTAATCTGATTGATTGTTTGCTTGTCTTGATGTCCCTCCCTTTCTACCCATCCTCGTCGCTTTGCTTGAACCATTCCAACTGTGCTCAACGCCTCTACTTCCCGTCTTCGTTGGTCAGCAGTTGTCCAGGGTTGCATGAAAACTTTTCTGAAGCTCTGGGCGGGTGGATATCCTGATGATGGGCTCCAACTTGTATCTGTCGAGCTAGAAGTGTTCTGAGACTTCGGGCTGGTTGATCCATCCTTGGACAGATTATGCGCATTTGAATACGACATACCTGGGTAAGGTATCAATCGAAATGATCACATCTAAAGAGCCAATAAGATCTGATGCTGTCTTGCATTGAGTGTGGAAACTTTGAAGAACTAACAAACACCAGCAGGCTTAAATACGAACTCTAAAATGAAGGGACAGAGACAATACAGTACAGCCATAAATGGCTGTTCGGCATGGAAGAATCATCGCTCTTAAACATTGAACAGATGTCAGTTGCCACTTTGTGTCATTGTGAGAGGCAAGATAGATATCAAGCATGAGTATGAAACTTTCATCGTTCTATCATGAGATAGGCAAGCTAGATATGAAGTATGAATATGAATATTTCTTCTTTCCATGATTGGCGACGAAAGCTAGGTTGGAATCATGAAGATTAAACTTTCTCCTGTTCATGCTCTGACAGAAAGCGAGTTGCAATGCAGCGGCTCCGGTCCTTTCTCTCGCTGCCATGTCGTGACTGCAACCGCGCGGCTGCTTCCCCATGGCGCGGCGATCGGATGTGGCTTATACCTTTGAATTTCACTCAACCTTTCACAGACTACCGCCCGTACCCCCCACCCCCTCCTTGCCTACTAGGGAACCAATTGCTGATGACGAAGCTTCACTACCCCCACCCCCTTGTCTCATATTGATTATGACCCTTCCCGCCGTACTCGTAGTAACCGACCAGCACCAACCAATGACCCTACCCCCCGCCACCTCCAGTGGGTAGTCATTTTGGCGGTGATAAGTAAAGATTTGTACTAGGCTGCATCTGCAAATCCGATCGCCCTTGACCGTCCGACGTGACCGGCGGCCCGGGCCGCCGAATCGCAGAAGCCAGTCCGACCGGCAGCGAGTAACTGAGAGGGATGACGATGACGATCTCCGAGCTCGCTCAGTCAGCCAGCAGTGCCAGGGCGGCCGATCATATGATCGTACGGTAGGACAATCGGCGAGCCCAGTGGCGTCACTGGAAGTTGAACTCGGAAGCAACCACTGAGTACTGAGTAGTGCAGGCTCGGTGGGTCCTGCCATCTGGCGCTCCTGGCATGCCGCAGTGCTCAGCGGCTGAGCTTGTTGTTATGAGAGCTCAACCTGTGCCGCATGCTCAGCAGCTACTCAGTGGACAACTGGATTTAAAGCTTCTCAAGGATCATATAAAGCAATGGCATTATTCATTCATGTTCCAATAAGTAATATACTGTGACAGCGGCATCAGTCAGTGAGTCAGGATCAGCAGTGCATCATTGACATCATCTCAGTCTGAACGGCTTGAAGGCAACAAGCTACTAGGCTACCCCGGGGCTCCTTCACCAGTTTAGGCAGATAATGCGGAGGCGCGTGCGGTCAGCTTGTGCAAGCATAAGAAACCTTGAAGCTCTTCAGAATGCCCTCCCTTCCAGCTGCCCCACCAACCAAAACGGTCTGAGTCTCTTCCAGCTCTGTCTTTGGCTCCAAGTCCTGCGCGCACAATGATCGTGCGTTGTCGGCAGCGCCTGAATCTCTCATGCTGGCAGCCGCTCCCACAACGACGCTGCCTGACAGGCTGTCGTGCTGCTGGGCAGCAGGGAAAGGCCTCCATGACGGGTCCACGGCAGTGTTGAGGTTCTGTTGTCGCAGGATCTCAGCCTTGGTGTGGAACCACATGTCTTCAGAGCTCAGCTTGTGCTGGCCAATGACGATGGCCGTGCTGCTGCCTTGAGCTGCGTCTTGAGCCCCGAAGCCCGTCACGCAGCTTGACACCGGCGACGACGCAAGCGGGTCCATCCCATCAGCCCCCCCTCCCCTCCAGGCGCCCTCCGACAGCATCTTCTCCTCCGACAGCATCTCGTCGTGCAGGGCCTTCCAGTACCTGTGGTAGACCCCGCTGGAGTGCGACTCGACGACATGCCTGGTGGCTCTGTTGTCGAAGGTGATGGGGTTGGGCAGCCTCTGCCCGATGTGCTTGGGAGCTCTCTCCGCCAGCATGTCGCCCGTCAAGGGGCAGTACTTGCAGAGGATGACCTGCTTGCCGCACTGGCACTGGCCGACCTGGGCGAAATGCTCCATGGCGAGGGAGATCTCTCGGTCGGTGTGTTTACCGAGGACGAGCTTGCAGATGCTGGGGGTGATGGGGTTGGACGAGAGCCACCTGGAGGGACCATGTCGGCACTTGCAGAGCGAGTTTGGCATTGAAACAGACTAAGAGGCCTTGTTTACCGGACGTATCGCTCCGCAGCACCCTCTTCCGCAAGACCCCCTCCAACCCCTTGCTCAAGGGCGGTAGGGTACTAGCTAGTCAGATGTCGCTGACTGTACCTCGTCTGGCAGTCCCCGGCTTCCGGCACGGTAAGTTTTTGAACACCAGGCAACCGTCTTGTCACATCAAATGTAACGAACGAGGTTCATTATGTTCCGAATGTTCTCAACCGCCAAGCATCACATATTATTAGTGTCAACGGCCTTCAGCCAACAAGCTACCAGAGTCCCGGGCCTCCTACATCCGCTTCCTTATCTGCGGCCGCCTGACTCGCCAGTCGGATCCCCTGAGCAGATCCTCGTCATTGTGACGTATCGGTCGCACATCAGTGCAGCGCCCAGGCATCTCCGGGCGATCTACCGTGGTGCGAGCTAGCAGGAATCTGGGGTGCGAGCTAGCAGGAATCTCCGCTTGTTGTGCAGGCGTGAGGAACCTTGACTTGAAGCTCCTCAGCATGTCAGCTCAAGCGGGGCGTCTGCGGCGCCTGACTCTTCAAAGGCTACGCTGCCCGACAGACTGTCGTGCTGTCGCCGAGTCGTGCGTCGAGGGTTTTTGTCGCAGGATCTCAGCCTTGATCTGGAACCATTTGAGCTCTGTGGAAACGAGTTCAAGTCTTGACAGGAAGATGGCATTTTTTTAGCACAAGTGGGCTCGACAATCTTAAAGGATCGTCGACGACTTCTTGAGGTGGTCCTTGCTCTGCACGGCTATGAACCGATATTGTGTTTGTGTTGCTTCTCAATACAAAAAATCATATCTTTTCTCTTCACTTTCGTGTGATTCAGCGGTAGTACCTTGAGCATTCGCTGTCGACGTCTGCACCCTGCAAAGCTTCGGGGGGTGGCAGTAAGCTGCTGCCTTGAGCTGCGTCTTGAGCCCCGAAGCCCGTCACGCAGCTTGACACCGGCGACGACGCAAGCGGGTCCATCCCATCAGCCCCCCCTCCCCTCCAGGCGCCCTCCGACAGCACCTTCTCCTCCGACAGCATCTCGTCGTGCAGGCCCTTCCAATACCTGTGGTAGACCCCGCTGGAGTGCGACTCGACGACATGCCTGGTGGCTCTGTTGTCGAAGGTGATGGCACCTGGAGGGCTTGCAGAGCGAGTTGGGCGTGACGACAAACTAAGAGGGCTGGTTTACCGGACGTATTGACCCTGATGATTTTAACCAAAAAAAAAACAAGTTTGACTATTAATAATTGCCGCTCCGCAGCACCCTCTTCCGCAAGACCCCCTCCAACCCCTTGCATGAGGACGGTACTCCACTAGTCAAGGCTGTCAGTAGTAAACTTGGGTTCTGAAATCCTGATCTTTTTTTGCCTCTTGTCGCTGACTCAACACGTTCACTCGCGCGCTCCGAGGCTCGCCTCAGAGAGTTCAGTACCAGGAGGACCGAACGAGGCAGAGGGTCGTATGGGGGTAGGGGCTATCTGTCACGGTCGGGGTTTACCGGCTGACCAACTGAGCAACTCTTATCCTCCCAGTTTACCACTCCGGTGAGCTCGTACAATAGCGCATGGTGTAAATGTGAGCGCTAGGAGGTCCATGGGGGGTCCTAGGAAATGGTCCTAGGGGGCCAACAAAGTCGCTTCATCGTTTGAAGTTGGTTCAGCCCTCGACTCAAAGGATCCAGTCCCCATCTCAACTTGTTTGAAAACTTGCACGTTCCTTCACTCTATCACTTGTGAAAATTCCATAGGGAAATCAGCTTGTAGAATTTCCTCAACCCTACTCACAAGCAATCTGCCAACCCAACTCTCATCCGATCGAACAATTCATCTCTTTCCCTGCTATCCTGCAATGCCCCGTTCACGACACCACTCACAACTCATCAACTCGCTCTGCAAGTGCCGGCATGGTCCCTCCAGGTGGCTCTCGTCCAACCCCATCACCCCCAGCGTCTGCAAGCTCGTCCTCGGTAAACACACCGACCGAGAGATCTCCCTCGCCATGGAGCATTTCGCCCAGGTCGGCCAGTGCCAGTGCGGCAAGCAGGTCATCCTCTGCAAGTACTGCCCCTTGACGGGCGACATGCTGGCGGAGAGCGCTCCCAAGCACATCGGGCAGAGGCTGCCCAACCCCATCACCTTCGACAACAGAGCCACCAGGCATGTCGTCGAGTCGCACTCCAGCGGGGTCTACCACAGGTACTGGAAGGGCCTGCACGACGAGATGCTGTCGGAGGAGAAGATGCTGTCGGAGGGCGCCTGGAGGGGAGGGGGGGCTGATGGGATGGACCCGCTTGCGTCGTCGCCGGTGTCAAGCTGCGTGACGGGCTTCGGGAGCTTCGAGACGGAGTCATCTGAAACCGACGAGTCACTGCAGAAGGACGAGCTTCTGCACTTCCTCAACAGCCCCAGAGACACAAGTCTTGACCAGCTCGACGATGCCGGGTATGCAATCGAAGAAGCTGGGTGTGCAGGCTCTATGGAGAGTCGAGAGTCTCAGGAGCTGGACAGGCAGGAGGGTCGAGCGCCGACTCAAAGCTCACCCGCCCGGGGCTCCGAGGGATCGTGCGGCAATGACCTGTGCACGGCCAACGTCATTGGACAGCACAAGCTGAGCGCTGAAGACATGTGGTTCCACACCAAGGCTGAGATCCTGCGACAACAGAACCTCAACACTGCCGTGGACGCGTCATGGAGGCCTTTCCCTGCTGCCCAGCAGCAGTGAAAAAGTTTCAAAGGGGAGCAAGTAATGCCGCCAGATTAGCATAGGAGCATGCTGCAGGCTCGAGATTGTGCTTTGAAACACATGAGATATTTCATTCATTTCACACCCTTCCCATGTTAATACGAGAAATTTAGGGCTCATGTGTGTATACGGAAGGCAAGCGAGATGATCTACGAAGAACTGATTAAATCAGATCGAGACAATGCTATAGTGTTATTGAGTGAAAAGCAATCAGCCTTGCATTCTCGGTTCGAACATGTAGCATGCCGGTCGAAGCAGGGATAATTTTTGAGGGTATTGCACATGATATCCTCAAAGTAGGAGGGAATTATACTTTGGCATGCCTTGGGACGGAACGAGGAGGAGACGTGGGCAACAGGACATTGGTATCTGTTGGGGTGCTGCCATATTACGAGTTTTTTACCAGATCCAATGAGATCAAGCAGTGGCAGATCCCAGACCGTACATATTGCAAGCCATTGACGAATAACTTTCCTTGCATTGATTCGCTGCAAAGAAGTCAGAGCTTCTCGGGGAGGAAATCAGGAAACACCAGCAAGACGGAAATTATGAAGTATAGGATGTCCTTGTCAAAGGCGGACGCTGAACAGGTAGGGAATCCGAGGAGAGCAATACCATAGTGTCAGGATGCGAATCTCCTGTTATGTTCTAATCTCGGTCTAAAGCTCGTTGGAAGGAAAGTAAAAACAAAGAAGAGTTATCAAAGTTGTCTTGCTGACTACAGAAGTCCTGTCTTGGTGTCTTCAACACATGCATGGGACTAAATACAATTGTATTTCAATGTTCAGTTTGTACGATACTGTGATGGCGGATTGGCATTCAGCAGCAGGCTGTTGCAGTCGAGTCGCCTCAGAGAATCATGCAGGTAGAAGAAACCCAAGGCAACAGTACAATCGTTGCCCCTCCTTCTCGGAAAAAGATGTAGAACTCATTCTCACCAAATGGGCCCATGTTTGAAATTCATTTTGAAGTTCAAGTATCTAACATTGAAGGTGCGTAGCTTAATTCTGCGTGCTCGCCTGTTTCGTGTTAAGTCAGTCCTGATATGTCCCTCACCGAGGCACAAGTCTTGATCAACCCGTCGAACCTCCAAGTCTCCAGGCCTTGAACACAACCGGTGAACAGCAAAACTCGACGTAACGAACGAGTCCGAGTCAGAAAGCTTCTGCACTCAGCGTCTCTTGGTCTTCACGACAGGTCGATCAAGTTGAATGATGGTAACCTTCTCGGCCTCGCCGTCTAACTTTTGGCCGTTCAAGCTAAGCTACGGTATGTCGTGGTTGCCAGATACTTCCATATATTTTGCGCCTTCCAACGTGCTAATAGCGATCAAGGGGACTCAGCAGTAGTAGCGGAACCGGGAACCGGTTAGAATCGCACATAGTCGGTCAGCATCAGCACGCAGAAAACCTACCGCACTACATATCGCATATTCGCCAGCCAGTGATCCTTTTCTTCGGCCCTCGGTTCAAGAGCTTTATAGCTTACCATTGCGCTTACCACATCAGGCTCGCTTTTCAAGTTGAAACGCATCTCGCCAAGTTTTTGAACCGTGCCGCAAGAGTCGCTTTTCGAGGCGAGTCGCCTGATATTTACCGGCAGGCCCGAAATGACCACTGATTTGGCCCGAGCAAGAAAGAGACCACGAGGTCCATCATAGTGACCGCGTCAACAGCGTCGGAAGAAGCTTCGTCGTCCATCATAGTATCAGTATCCGATAGTACCGAACCAGTCAGTGCACCGAGTCGGAGCAAGCAAGTGGCCGCCGGGCCCGCCGGGCCGGGGCCCGGCGGCAATTGGCCGTTACGAGATTGTAACTTCCTCTAAAAAAAAGCCGCGCGCCCGCCATGTCCGGGAGGGCAGGGGAAAAGTTCGCGGAGGGCGACTATGACGGATGCATGGCAGGTGAGAAGATTCGAGGAGAAGAGGATGATGACCTAGAAGATATGCTTGCTTGTGACGTGCTCAGATGAGATCGAATGTACAGGATAGGAAAGATCGTGCCTGACATGTTGATTGTTGTTTCACGGTGGGGAGGGGGGGCGGGGAAATGCCATTGAAGATGTGATGAGCTTGAAAGAGGCAGTGCTCTATGGAAGTTGAGATAAATGGTTTTGTATGAAAATGATCGTTCTCCTCGATTGTTGCGATGTGATGCTGGCAAGGAAACAGCATGCAGCAATGAAAGATGACTGTACAGATGTCGTTGTGCACTATGGGCATGATTGGTAGAAGTTGACAGCAGAGCTGTTAGCATGAGACACGTGGTAGAGACAGATACCATAGGTGATGAGGAGAGACAAAGAGTCGAGGAAGAATAGAAGGATGAATCCATGATGATAATGACGCGATGGCGGATCCTGACCGTGACGTGACACCCATTGCAGAGTTGGACAATGTAAGAGCCACGAAATCGTCAGACTTCAAGGTACTTGTGGGATTCTACAAGACAATTCATTCTCTTTGACGCTGGTGAAGGTGTTACACAACATGGAAGTTTGCCTGGGATACAAGAATTCCTTTGCCAATCCCAAGGAACTCCTTGCAAAACTTCAGTCGCTCAAGGCCGACGTCGACCTGAAACGAAACGAAGGCGGCGAGAATGAAGACTTTGCTTTTGATGATGTAACACACCTACTTCTTGGTCGCCGAGTCTACATCGATCGTTTTGAGCCCTGCATTTTTAGGTTGATACAGCCATGCTCAACTGCAACATTGCTGTCCTTGCGCTTCAACTAAGAAAATACGCCACTGCAACGGAAGCTCTGGACAGGCTCTTCAGGTCTCCCCTTGTTGTAGGATTTCCGGTGTGTGTTGATGGTTCCTTGTTTCGATTCAGGAACATTGAACCTCTGGATGAACTCCTTGCCGCGAGAATCTGTATGATGCTTCTTGATTCTCTGTCTGTACAGAGACTGCCCGAGAAGGCTGCTCAGGTTTGTGTCAAGGGCTAGGCTGTGCATCATCTGAAGATACATGGTAGGTCTTGAACTTTCTGGAAAAGACCATCCTAGCTCTGTTTGCTTCAAAAGCAAGTGTCGACCCCTCAAACAGTTCCCAAGATTCGAACACCGCAAGCTCCAAAACAGATGGCCTTGGAGAATTTCAGAAGTATGGTTTTGTCTCTCTTCCTCAGCTTAAGATCTTGCTGTCTATCTACAAAGCAAAACATTACCTCTTCCATGGCAACGCGAAAGCAGCCAAGAGGGAGATCAAGGCTGCCATTGCGGGGAGCCAGCCTGCTGAGTTGGCATCGCCTCTGATGTTAAAAGCTCATTTGGAGTATTTGAGGGGAAACTTCAGAAAGGCACAGAAGCTCTTGTGCTCAAGCTCTCTGAGCGATCAGCCTTTCCGAGCTTTTCAACTAAACAACATGGGCTGTCTACATTATCGCTCCAGAAAGTATGGTATTGCAGCAATGTACTTCCGTAGATCGATACAGGAGCTGTCCAAAGTACGAACCTCCAAATTTTTGTCAGGGCTGATGAGTACTGCAGGGCAATGAACAGACTGAGAGGTCCAAGATGGAGGCAATCTGCTGTGTCAAACGTGAGGAAGTTCTGTATAACCTAGGCCTTCAAAATCTTCTTTTGGGAAGGTATAGATTCTGTTACTCTCTCACGAGACATCTGAATCTTTGGTTTGACCAGACCGGAAGCCGCATTCTCTTGTTTGAGAGAAGCTTCCCGTTTGCTGTACAATCGTCCAAGACTATGGATCCGTCTGTCAGAGTGCTGCATCGCCCGCCATCATATCTGCACCCGCCAGGTAACGAGGGCTCTGATGAACTCTGGGGCCGGGACTGAGCTTGTCACAGAGTGACTCCCGGCAGTCCTCCGACTTGATCAAAAGTGTGAGCGGGAAAGGCTCAAGGAGGAGGGTCCTTGTCCCTATCGGGCTAGCTTCCCTCCGCAGTAGGTGCCTACAGTGTGGACCACCGGACGGTTCCGCGAAAGACGAAAACGGAGAGCAAGGACCAGGAAATGGAAACGACACGGCTCAACCGTCGAACGAGCATTCCACTGCAACGGGCATTGAAGGCCAGATGACCATGTCGTACGCTCTCCAGTGCCTGCAGAATGCCTTCTTCTTGATATCGCGAGAAGCGGTTGGCTTTCCTTTGCTCCCTCCTTCTCGTGCCTCTGATCCTCCTTGCCAGCCCGCGATGTTTGGGAGCTCATGGGGATCTGCGGGATCTCAGCAGGTACGTCGAGTGAGTCGAATCGTCTTCGGGTTGTGAAGGTCGCTCTAGGCTGGAAACCCCAGCGCCTCCAACGACGATGTCGATGGCGACCATTCGAACGGGAACGGGTCGAGCTCGGCGGGGAAAGACACGGACGAGCAGCAGGCTGGTGTAACGAATCGGTAACGAGCAATGATGCGCATGGCTGCCTCTTTGACATGGTGGGTAGGGAACACTCGGTCAACGAGAGGTGGACCCTGAGACAGGTGTGTACTGGGGTGAGGAGCTGGGGTTTGTGCGTTACGTTCTCGATAGGCTATCCTGTGTAAGATGGCGTATGTTCACCTGTGCCTCGACAATCCTCTCATGTCATTGAAAGCGGTGATGAGTTCCCTCATCAATGGTAACCTCCCACGTTGCTGACGCAGATGCAGGTCAACGAGCTGCTGGCAAATGAGAGCCAGTGCCGACCAGAGTACTCCTACTCGGCTCGCATGTACGGCACAGAAGCTCTCTGCTTACTGGAGAAGTCGGAAGAAGCCGTTAATATGCTCGAGCCGCTCATCCAGAAGGACTTGTTCGCAGGTACAAACTCCTCCCCTTCCCCTTCCCTTCCCTCTCCTGCACCGCCCTCCCTCCATCCGTATCCGCTAAACTTGCTCTAGCCGACGTGATCAGTGGATGCGGTCACGGACAGTCGCCGGCGCGGCGATGCGGCTTGTCACACATGAGCGAAGCTTCAGGTTTGCCTCCTCAGTCATGCACAGCTCCAACTTAGCTGCATGCAGGCATGGTGGAAACGGCGGCTGCTCGCAGTGCTCTGCATATCAACCTAGCGGCCATCTGCGTGATGCAGGAGAAGCTCAATGAGGCCCATCAGCACGTGCGGGTAAGGAAGCGACGCCATGCCAGTAGGTCCTGTGCTTGGCTAATGTCGATGCAGATTGCGCTCAACGAGTCTCCTACATGTCCTGCAGGCCTCATGATAGCAGTGTACCTGGAGATCCGGAAAGGTACAGCAAGATGTTCAGGCTGATGCTCCTCCTCCTGGCCTATCACCCCTCTCCTCCTTGTCATGCTTCAGTTCTCACTTCCTCTCCCCCAGGCAACACGGCAGCCGCCTTGAACATTCTCAAGCACCAACGACTCATGGCCTCTTGACAACTTTAGATCTTTGGTTCTTGACTCCTCTTGGTCTCCTCCTGTCTCATTATCCCCTTCCCCTGAGTCTCCGAGTGTCGGTACGGTACGGTGTGACCGGGTATGGTGTGGCGTGACTCGGACCGTACGGTACTGTACGCCGGCCGGAGCCCGGCCCGGGCCCTTCTCTGGAGCGAACTGAGTTGGAAGAGGCTTGCAGACCTGACTAGTCAGTGAGTGGGGCTGCTGGGTTGAGCTAATGAATCGCAAGGTCTAACTTCGGAATCATTCAAAGTCACAGCACGCAATCACGGCCCGTCTGAGTTACTAGTTACTAAAGTACTCACTGAGTCAGTGTCCTCGGATGAGCCCGGGCTACTGATGCCGGGGCCCGGCAAATTTCAAATATTATAAGAATTTTTTAAAAGACCCTCAGCTCTTTTACGTGTCCGCCCGAAGGCTTACGGGAGGGTGGGGAGGTGGGGTAGAGGAACAAGTTGAAGATAGTGGGATTCGGAAACAGGGGTACTGATTGACTAGAGGTGGTAGGGGGCCACTGTTGCCATCAACTAAGACTTATCGATATTATTAAATCGAGGGGCTTGAGGGCTACATCGAGACAGTGGAGGGTAAGAAGGGTGGGGTGTGGTTACCAGGTACTACTGTACACAGAAATTTCTGGTCAAGTTGAGGAGGGGGTGGAGCAGGAGGATGGAAGGGGTGGTGAGAACTGTAGTAGTAGACGTTAGCGTCCTAGGGGGGTGGTACAAGAAGGAGATAGGGGTGTAGGCGGATTGTGGTAGAGGTGGTAGGGTAGGTGAGGGACCGGGTAGAGGTGGGGGAGCGCATGTGCTTTAAAGGATCGCAGGGGGGTGCCTGAAATGTTCAGCTACCTAGGGGTACTGGAAGGGTGGACCGGGGGTGATACGTACACCAAGATGGGTTTGTAGGGGTAGTGGGTAGTCGGATTTTTCCAGGACCGGATAATTTGAGTTGAAATGAGGGGGTGGTGTTAGTGGTCTCCCTCACATGGGAGTGAGATAAAACTAGGACTCCTACTGGTGAGATAACAGTGGGATGGGGGGTGGGTAGGTGAAGTTGAAAGGGTGGGGTAGAAAAGCAAGGCGTGGGAGGGTGGCAGGTTGGAATGGTGTGAACAATGGGATGGAAGGATGCAAGCAGCAGCGACGGGGAGAGGAGGGAGGAGGGCAAGGGAGGAGGGTGAGGAACCGAGAGGTCAGAGGAGGACAGTGACGTCAGTCATAGCTCGCGTTACAAGATCTCGATGATCCGATGCAGGAGACAAGGCTCGTCAGTCGGATCTGAATCGTGATCTGACGGGGCACTGAAGATTAGACGTGGGACAATGGTTTTGTGACGCGTCGAACGTAGAAGAAAGCTGTTAAGCTCTGACTGAGAGATCATGTGATGAATGTCATGCTGTCTGATATCCACGATGCCCTGATGTTACTCTGCATTTCCCCCGTTTTCCCGGCACTCTTCTGTGAATTTCGTCTGAATCTTCTTCTTGCAGAGCATGTGCATTTCATCTAATGCACCTCCAAGGCTTGTTGGAGAAGTCCAACGCAAGCCGCTGCCAAAGCCCGCCGATCAAGCGTTCACCGTTCGATGGCGTCATATAATGGGGTCGATTCTCGCTGCAAATTTCGCAGTCTTCTGGGCAATTCCTGTCTTTGGTATGGGCCAAGTATGGAAACTTGGTCTGTACCGGATTCTGAGGCCGATATTCAATTTCTTTGATCAGAACACATTTCTTCGCTCCTTTGCCAAGAATTATATCTACAGCAAGGAGCTTTACACGGACTTCTTCGCACTGTCAGTGTTCCTCGCCCTTCAGAACTTCGCCGCGTTGGGGGTTGCGCTGTACTGGCAGGTACGGGTGTGCAGAAGGAATGATATCGCATGCTTACCTCCATACAGGTCAAGTACGAGTACCTCCCTTGGTGGCTGATCTTCGCTTACTACTGCCAGTGGGTTGGTTTGGGAGGAAGGGGGATGGGAGGTGCATACACGTTGTCTCACAAGGAGGGGCATCATCGAGGGGGAGGGTTGTACAAGAACTGGATCGCGTCGACCTTTGGGAATGTGTGGGAGAACTGGATGGGATACCTGTATGGCATCGTTCCGTACAACTTCTCTACCTCGCATGTGTTCCTCCATCATAAGCTGAACGGTGGGAAAGGAGACGCCATGTACCAGTGGGACCTTGATCGGTCGTCATGGAGCGACTTGATGCTGTTCCAGTACAGGGTGATGGTGTACATGACAGGCTGGAGCAGCATGGAGACTTTCCGAACGCTTGCTGACTCGAACACTGTCATGGCCAAGAACTACCAGATGCTTTTGAAGGGCATGATCCTCTACTGGGTCGTGTGCCCTAGCGTCTCCCTCTCCCTCTTGGTCGGAGTTGCCGGATGCTCCATCATCTCCAGCCTCAAGTTCATGTTCTACATCTGGTTCGAGCCCATGTGCGGGATGGCTTTCTTCCTTGCGCTGATCAACTTCGCCTTCCACGCCTTCATCGAGTTGGACGAGAGCGGCAGGCACGTCGCGTGCGTGAACTCGACGGTGATCTTCGACGGGGACGATGACTACTGGGGAGAGGACGACCACATGGCCCATCACTACTACACCAACGGTGAGCCCGACGTCCCTCCCTGATGCTGCGTGACTAGTGCAACAGTCAGCCATCGTGACCTCCCGGAGCACCAGCAGACTCAGCATCAGGTGATGGGACTTGGCATGACGTGTGCTTGCCTTGTATGATGATGTTATGGACAGGAGTGGAAGAAGTGGACGGCGTCATGCTTCAAGAAACTGTCCATAGTTGAGCTAGCAATCTTCATCCTCCTGAAAGAGTGGAAGAGGTGAGGATGGGCGGCAGGCGGCTCTGAGCGCGGTTGACTGCGAGCAGGCTGGCCACCTATCACTTTGTTGACTTCAGTGGCAAGTTGTCAGTCGACGAGATCGCGCATCTGTTGGAGGTCTGCAAACTGACCTCCTTGATCCCAGCTGATGTTGCACCTGGTGCAGGTGAGGGCGAAGAGGAAGGAGATGGACTACGAGACGTACGAGTTCGACTACCTCCCGAACCTCAAGGCCAACGCAGTAGATCTCGTCAAAGATGTATACACTTCCATGTTCCCTCCTCCTCCTCCCTGTAACGCGCGCGCAGGGGACGTGCAGGAACGTGGGAGAGGCGCTGAAGCACTTGGCGCACACAAGGTGAGCTAGCATGGCGGGTACTGTAGATAGTGAAGGTTGTCCCAGCACGCCGCTCATTGAGGGTCAAGTCACTCAGAAGATCTACAAGAAACAGAACTGATTTGTATGATATGATAACAGCAGAATAACATCTGACGACTTGGGATGTTTGACATATTTGTGATAAAGGTTATGAATTCCCCAAACAACAGCTTCCTCTTCCTCCCTCCTACCCCAACGCCCTCCTCTCCTCTGAAAAAAACACCTCTCCAACACCTCTCCTCCCCTCCCCTCCCATCCCCTCTACCTCCTCCCTCCCTTCTTCCTCCTCCACCATCCCCCCTTCCGCTTCTTCCCTCCTCCGCACTCCTACTCTCGTCAGTCCTTGTCCTTCTCACGTCGAGCTTCTCTTTCCTCTCTCCGTCTCTTCCCAACATCTTCCCCCTCCCCGCCCTCCCTCCCTCCCTCCCCGCCCTGACACTCCGTCACATTTCGCCAGCACCCATTTCGCCCCTTTTCCCTGGTCAACATATTCGTACCCCAACTCCCTTGCTGCCCGCCAACCCCGACCCCCGCTCGCCCTCCCCTTCCTCTCCCTCCGCCGCCATCGCTCCCCTCCTCTTCCTTCCATCCGCTTCCCCTCTCTCCTCTCTCATCCTCCTCCCTTGTCTGCAGGAGGAGCGGCGCCAAGGGCCATGGCGGACGAACTGAGCCTGTTCCCGTACTGGAGGCGGTTGGAAATCCGAAGTGAGTTGCAGAAAAACAGGAAGCGACAGGAGCTGGAGGAGAAGATTGAGAGGAACAGGAGGGAACATTACCGCAAGCTGTTCAGCGTCAGAGAAGATGCTCGAAACTTTGAGGAGACGGCGCTCGAGGAGATGGCGAGAAGGAAAGCGCGAGAGGAGCAGGAGAAGGCGAGGCTGCTTTCATCCGAGGACTTCAACCCTCCGCTGAGAACTCAGAAGCAGGAAGAGAAAACGCAGGAGGAGGAAGAGAAAAAGGAGGAGGAGAAGGAGGACTACACCTTCACAGACGAGGATGAAGAGGAGGGCGCGACTGGGTACGATCAGGGTAGTTTCGAGAGCTCTGGAGGAGGGGACGATTCGCGCGACCTTGATGAAGGTTCTGAGAGAACTAGCGAAGTCTTTGATCCATCTGAACACTCGACGACGGCAGCGAGCAAGATGACGGGGGAGATAGAGGAGGAGGAGGAGGAGGAGGGAGGAGAAATCGTGGAATCTGTCAAGGACGGGACGTCTTCTGTAGAGGAGGAGCGAGAGGAGACAGAGGAGGATGGAAGTCTGCGAGCACAGGAGGAGGAGGAGGAGTCTTTAGCAAGCAGCTCGAAGAACGACCAGCAGTACTCGGACGACGCGGAGGAAGAGCTGACGGAAAGGGATGATTACTCGCAAGGAAGTTTCGAGGATACGGAAGAGGGAGCGAGGGAGGGCGCAAAGACTCCTGTGCCAGCATCGGAGGAGGAGAGACAGGAGCGTGCTCGTGCTGAGACGTCCAAGGCAGACAGTGAGCGTGTGGGAGGAGGAGGAGGAGGAGGAGGAGGAGGAGGAGGAGGAGGAAGGAAATTTGCTGAAGGTGTTGAGGATGGGAGGGAGGAAGGGGAGGAGTGGGCAGGGATGCGAGAGCGAGTCAGGCGCGAGCACGAGAGAGCCGCCGTGCTGGGCAAGTGTGGTGTATGCGAGGATGAGAATTGTACGGATCCCTCGCACAGAGATCCAACGTCGAACCCCTTCTGGCATGGAGGGGTGGCGCAGGCTACCTCTGCCATCCAACAGGCCCTGATGCGACAGGAGCAGCAATTCATCGGGAGCAAAGTCATGCAGTATGCTAAGCAAGCGCAGGTGAGACGCTCATCTGCTCCCTGCTCCCTGCTCCCTCCTTTGACCTCGCTCACCCCTCTAATCTCACTCTGCTCCCTCCTCCCTCCTCCCTCCTCCCTCCTCCCTCCTCCCTCCTCCCTCCTCCCGCTTTTCCTCTCTTTCCCGCTTTTCCTCTCTTTCCCTCACTTCTTCTCAAAGGAGTGGAAGAGCGATCGCTGTCGCAGCACGTGGGGCATTGGGACTCAAGCTGACCGAATCGACTCAAGCTTTCATCGAGATGCAGATCCTTTCAGGTATCTCCTCGAATTCTCTTGTGAGAATTCAAAACATGCGCAACAGGATTCAATTTCTCACTGACTTCACGGACTTGTATGTCAAGAACATATCACCAGACAGCTCTTTGGATGTTGTTGTTGAGATATTCTCCCTGGGTATCTTGTTGTCTTCGTCTTTGTCTGTTCTTATTCGATTCTCATTATCCTCGACTCTGACTTGATACACCCACTAGCTGGTGAAGTTCACAGCGTCGTATTTCATTCCACGGTGATAATTTGAATTTGTCTGGCTGATATTCATCAATTGTTTCCAAGATTGAAAGTGAAAGGAGAGCGCATGTCTCCTATAAGGATCCAAATTGTGCAAAGGTTTGCTCGCTGCTCCTGCTCCTGCTCCTGCTGCTTCTCCTTCTCCCGCTCCCGCTCTTATTCCTGCTGCTTCTCCTTCGCCGGCTCCTGCTCCTGCTCTTGTTCCTGCTCCTGCTCCTGCTCCTGCTCCTGCTCCTGTAGTTCCTGTACATTGGCCCTCATCTTGGTTATATCTCTTCTCCCATGTTTTCGTCTTCAACTTCTTCACCCCTTCAAGTCGCAGTTGACCCACCCTGCCTCCTTCTAGAACGCGATTTTCCTCCTGAATGGCCGCAAAGTCTCCTTGAGCTCGACGCAAATCTTTGTGGGGAACGAGATCTTCACTAGAAACAAGGTAAGACATGGCGGGAAATCTTTCCTGAGTGATATCTGGGCAGGAGCACGAGGGAGGGAAGGGAGGACGAGGAGAAGGAGGAAGAGGAGGAGGAGGTGAAGGGGGAGGGGGAGGAACGCAGCATGAAAGCATGCGGCACCTTGCCTCCTGCCAGCTGTTCCGTTGCATTCATGACGGCAACATCGACGGCGTCCAGAAATCGCTCCTCCATGGCGGGGCAGACCCCAACGCTGTGATCACCCTCCGCAACTTCCCTCGACTTTTCGGGAACCAGGACAGCGGGGAGATGGACGGAGAGGAGTTTCAGGAGCACAGCTCTGCGAGATGGCCAGCTGTCGGGTTCGAGGGGCGCGACGGGGAAAGCGCCCTGCATCTGGTGAGCATGAGGAGGAGGAGGAGGTGGTGGTGGTGGTGGTGGTGGAGGAGGAGGAGGTGGTGGCAGGGAG